ATTTTCTTTATTTAAATTATTTTAACATTATATAGGATAGTTTTTATATAAATAGGAGTAACTTAGGATCAAGTATCGATAAATCGTTTTAGTTTTATCTTATATTAGTTTTAGTAGTTTTAAAGTCTTTAATAAATAAACTGTTTAGTACAGATGCGCTGACAGAGGCAGTACTATAATTTTGTTTGTTAATCATTTATTCTACGCGAATTATTATATTTTCTTTACATTATAAAATTATAATTAAGTTCTCTATCTTCTTTACGAAGGAAACCTTCTGTATACGTAATCATAATGCTTATTTAAGTCGAGCGTTTTAAAGAACTGGCATAACAATAAACTATAAAATGCATTTTCACATCTTTTTATTAATGCAAGACAATCAAATGCTGTTGTCTAACGTGTTTTTGAATATCCTCGTAATCCACCTCCTATAATTAAAATTTTCTTTTAATTCTTGAATCAAATATACCTATTTTAAAAAAATAATTAACAATTTTCATACAAAATAAAATTGTATTTTTTGAATGTTTGTATGTCATTATATCAGTAGTTAATAAATTAACATAATGTTTAATACATCGAACTGGAATTATATGTTGATATTTTTCATTGATTTGTTTTTTTGCTGCTACTATTGTTGCTGCATTATCAGATACTATTGAAGAAAACTTTTCAGGTCCAATCTCTTCTATTATTTTTATAATTTTTTCAGATATAAAATCTGCATTATGTGAATATTCAGAAAGATCTTGTAAAGAGTATATATATTCTTTTTTTGAAGGTAAAATTAAAATAAATGCATAAATTGATGCTCCTCTTGGTCCACTCCAACCATCTAATCCTAAAATTAATAAAATTATTTAATTTTAAATTTAAATCATAAATTCATAAAAAAATAAATAAAGTAAATAAACCTAATATTATATTTTTAGAATCTCTTAATATATCAAGAATAGTACACATAACTTGTGCTAATTCTATATTAAACCAACTACTAGCAAATATAACTCTATTAGGAAGATTATAAGAAAGACATAAACATTTCACAAAATCCACAAAAAATGGATTTGAAATTATATGAAAAGGAAGATCACAACAAACAAAAATCTAGTAAGAGCTCGATTATATCTTTTTTCTTTTCCAATATCAATTTTAATATTATCAAACATTGTAGTAATTTTTGATTTTGAACTTTAATTCGTTTAGTAGAAGAGGATGCTATAGTAGAGAAGGTGGTAGTAGAAGAGGAATTCTCATATGTTGTACGATTTTTTATTTCTTGTAAAAATATGGTTTTGATTTCTCCAGTTGCCTGCATACATGTGAAAGCTAAATATTCAACCATTTCAAAAGCTTTCCAACCTTTCTTATCCATCCACATAATTTACAAATACATCTGATATGCCTATTTTTTTCCCCATCTTCTTCAAAATATTCCTAAACTAATGTTTTTTTTCTTTCAAGCATTTTTTTTTAAATATTATTTATATTACTTTCATCAAAGTAAATATCATATAAATCTTCAAAGTTTGAATTTATCATTTCTAACATTATTACTAAAAAAAAATACACTACAAAAAATACAAAAAATTAAAAAAAAAAAGTAAAAAAAAAAGTAAAAAACTTTAATAAAAAATGTTATGAATAAAAAACCAAAAAAAAGAAAAAAAAGTAAAAACTTCTGAATTATAATTTGTCACAATAATCACGTAAAAAAATTAACTCAAAAGAAAGAAAGGAGAGAAAATTTAAAAAGATTTTAAAAAAAATGATTAGATTATCTATAAAATAACTCTATATACAAAGCTATATTAATAAAGATAGGTACCATAATTAAGAAGTTGCAACTCAATAAGTTGCAACTTGAGTTGCAACTTGGTTACAACTCCTTGTAAATTTATTTTAATATAAAAATTCATAAAATGTTACAACTCAAAGTGTTGCAACTTAAGTTACAACTAGTTAAAAATTTTAAAAATAATTATGGGAACCATCTTTAGTAGAAGCTGAGTTTTGATATTCTTTTGTTGCTCATCCTATATGAGGTTTTAACGAAATCCTTGTGAAGGTTTTTATAAGTTTCCGTTATTTAGCTATTTATTGCATCATATAATCGTATTGAATCAATAATGTGATATATCTATGAATACAACTTCAGAAACTTCAGGTTAGAATAGAAGATAAATTCAAAAATTCAGATAAACCTTTTAACCCAATTATTTATTGTATTCTAAAAAATTTATTATTAGTTTTTATTTTTTTTAGATTTAATTTAATAAAAATATTTATCAGTTTACTTGAAATTTATTGAGATCAGCTTCACTAAATTTTTCATATCTACTTATAATATACATTTTATTCCAACTTTCATATAATTTCACAAGTTTGTTATTACTTATAAAATTATCTACTCCTTTATCATTTCCATTATATAAATTATCTAATACGAATATCATTTGTTTTATCAAAGATTGATATTCATTAACAGTTAGCCTTGCAATTTGTAATCCTTTAAAAAATATTTACAGATTAGGAAAATGAGGAATTGTAACTATACAGAAATCTATTTCGTCAACTAAGGCATTATTATGTTAGGATTGTAATAATTCTCATGTAAAATCAATTTGGTAGCAGAATAAATCGAGATCTAAATGATGTATACTATCAGGCATTGTAGCTAAATAAATATTTATGTCTCTAAAGATTTAAAATAATTGTTATTATAATATAATATTTGACTTTACATTAAATTACGGTAAATTCCAGAAAAAATTAGATACCGACTCTATGCTAACAGATTTTTCGGTATGTTCATCAAAATGTTTATACATATCTTCATGAGATCTCAGTTTTGTATCATCAGCTAACAAATTTAATTTTGCAAGATTAACCCTTATTACTAAGTAAGAATGACAAGGAAAATTTGAATTAGTAGACTTGTAAGTTAAATAAAAAGTTGCTGCTTTTGGCCAATCTGTAATAATTACAGAAATGCGTGAGCAAAATCAAATGGTCTCATTATTTACTTTAAATTCTATATTATTCATTAGATAAATAGGTTCTAATGAGTATTTCAAGGATTTGTGAAAGATTTCATAAGTCAGATTTTTACCAATAGAAAATTCTAATATTAGTAAATACCCTAAAAGTTACTTTACATCTGATTTATTATGACGCCATGTTGGAATATTACCAATTGATATATATATTAGATGTAACTGACTTTTTCCTAATGTGTTAGTGGTTGTAGCATCCAAATATAAAATATTTATAATAATTTAGCTCCATAAGGTAAGGAAGCTTTCATAGTTTTTCACCATAATCCATTATTTTATTTTTTATATATACTTTCTCCTTGACACTATGAAATAAATAAATATATATTAAAATATATATTATAATGTTATTGGATAATTAAATTTGTATAATCTTAATTTTTTACCTTAAAATTTTCATAAGAAAGCACAAAATCTTTCATTATATCAGGAACAGCCAAGATATTTTTAATATTGTTTATTAAATCTTGGTAGTGAAGAAAATATTCTTTATTATTATGAGATACTATACTAATTTTTGAAAAATCTAAATTTGGAAATTTCATCTTATTCATGAATGTTCGTCCTTTTTTCGTTACATTTAATAAAAACGCTTCCGAAGCGTAAATTTTAAATTATAACGCTTCAGGAGCATTTCTTTTAAATAAAAACACTTCCGGAACGTTAAATTTAAAAAAATAACGCTTCCAGAGCGTTAATTTTAAATAAAAACGCTTCCGGAGCGTTAAATTTAAAAAAATAATGCTTCTGGGGCGTTTCTTTTAAATAAAAACGCTTCCGGAGTGTTAAATTTAAAAAAATAACGCTTCTGGAGCGTTTCTTTAAATAAAAATGCTTCGGTAGTGTATTTCTTAAAGAAAAACGCTCCGGAAGTGAATTTCCTAAAAAAAAAACGCATCGGAGAGTAATTCTTAAGAAAAATGCTCTGGGAGCGTAATTCTTAAAGAAAAACGCTTCAGTAGCGTATTTCTTAAAGAAAAATGCTTCGGTAGCGTATTTCTTAAAGAAAAATGCTTCGGTAGCGTATTTCTTAAAGAAAAACGCTCCGCAAGCGAATTTCCTAAAAAAAAATGCTCTGGAGCATAATTCTAAAGAAAAATACTTCGGGAGAGTAATTCTTAAAGAAAAATGCTTCAGTAGCGTATTTCTTAAAGAAAAACGCTTCGGTAGCGTATTTCTTAAAGAAAAATGCTTCAGTAGCATGGTTTTTAAAGAAAAACGCTCCAGAAGCAAATTTCCTAAAAAAAAACGCTCCAGGAGCGTAATTCTTAAAGAAAAAACGCTCCAGAAGCGTGATTCTTAAAGAAAAATGCTCCTGAAGCGTAATTCTAAAAGAAAAATGCTCTAGGAGCAAAATTCTTAAAGAACAATGCTCCGGAAGCGAATTTCTTAAAGAACAACGCTCCGGAAGTGAAATTCTTAAAGAAAAGCGCTCCGGAAGTGAATTTCTTAAAGAACGACGCTCTGGGAGCGTAATTCTTAAAGAAAAAAACTCCTGGAGCGAAATTCTTAAAGAACAATGCTTCGGAAGCGAATTTCTTAAAGAACAACGCTTCAGAAGCGAATTTCTTAAAGAATGACGCTCTGGGAGCGTAATTCTTAAAGAAAAACATTCCGGAAGCATTTTCGCTTCAAGAGAATCGATTTAGAGACGTTTCTCTTGAAGGAAACTATTTCGGAAATGATTCTCTTGAAGGAAATCGCTTTCCGGAACTTTTCAATTACTCCGAAATTTTTTTTCGGATTTTTGTTAATAATGTAAGCCGGCTTGTTTGGCTCGCGAGCTGGCTCGGCTTGCCACATTTTGGACTTGAGCCGAGCCGGCTCATGAGCCAAAATAATTCGGCTCAGCTCGAGCCGATGGTGAGTCGGCTCATGCAGAGCTTTAATTCTTATGATAAAATAATATATATATAAACAAAATCTATTTATCTTTTTTTCGTTCTTCAACAAAAAATTTTTTACATAAATATTTATTAAAAATATTGTTCATTTATTAAAATATATAAAATATTTTTTCATAAGTAATCATAATTTTTCAGATTTTATAAATTAACCAATTAAAATTTGCTTAATATGATAAAAAAAATAAAAAACCTTTTTATTTTTTGATGAAAGTTATTCAATTGATTTGAAAGCTCTTTATCTTAATATTAATATTAACAAATACTTACTATGTTTTTTTCTTTTCTACTAACTGTTTTTTGCTTCTCTACTAAATGTCTCATTTTTTCTTTACTAATTTTCTTTCTTTTGATTTTTTTACTAACTGTCTCTCTTTTGATTTTTTTATTCTATTAATTATCTTCTCTCTTTTACATTCTCTTATTTACTAATTTTTTTCTTTTACTTTTATATTTTACTAACTGTCTCTTTTTTACTTTTCTATTCTAATTTTTTTTTTACTTTCATGCAAATTTTTTGAAGTATCAATTATTTAACATTTATTTTCTTTATTCCTAACCTTTTTTTAGAAATATTTTTATCAATATTTAACCAAATTTTAACCTTTATTGCTATAATGGTGACTTCATTTTCATAATATTTTCTTTTTATATTTTTAACTTATATTATTTGTAATTCATTTTTAAATTGTTTTTAATAAAGCATAATTTGTATTAAATAAATTTAAATATATTTAAACTTAGTAAATTTACGAAATATTGCACAACGGAAAGTTTTAAATTACATTTTATCAAAAGATATAAAATATTATAATCAAATTTCTAGCATAAAATTAATAAACTTTCAAAATTCTTTTATTATCGTAAGTTTTATATAATATTATACCATAATGTTTTAAAGTATTATGCTGTAAACTTTTGAAATTTTAGTATTTTCGTAAGTTTTACATAATATTATACTGTAATGTTACAAAGTACTATGCTGTAAACTTTCACATATTTATATACCCATAATACTTTCATAGTATTACATTATAATATTACGAAATATTATGAAAATACAAATTATGTAATCTTACAATAGCCTCTTAAATTTTCGTAATATTACAGAATGCAAATTTACGAAATATTACATCCTATTAAATTTACTGATGAATAAATAAGCTAAAACTTATATAATTTATTTTCTAAAAAAATTATAATTATTTACGTATAATGTAAGTTTTGAGTATATTTTTGAGAAATTGTTTTAGATTTTATTATTTAATTTATTTTCAAATCTTTAGTAATTGAAAAGAAATTTCAGTTTTAAAATGATTATGAATATTATTTTAATGCATTACTATCATAAATAATAATAATTCAAAGAAAAACATCATTTAAAATTGCATATATACTTTAGTAATTTTACAGATCATAAATTGTTTAGTTTTAAATAAATATTATTTGTTATAATATTAAACAAGTAAAATTTTTTACCTTACGATTATAAAGTAGAATTTATACTCAATTTATGAAATATCTATTATCCAGAAGTGAAAATAAAACTAAATATTAAAATTAAATATATCTTAAATACTAAAATAAATAATATTAATCTCATCTATATCATATATATTTTGGTCATTTTCATAAAATTTAAAAATACTTTGTATATCATTAAAATTTTTTTTAGATACTTTATTATATAATTTCAATCCTTTTCCAATTTTATTTATATAATAATATCCAAAAATAAATTTTACATCTGAGAATTTTTGCATAGCAAATTTTTATAAATAACCAAATGCTTTAAATTCATCCTTTTTGATACAATTTTTTAATTTATAATATTTATCTAAATTATATAATGCAATTATATTTTCTTTTTAAACTGCTTTTTGAATTTGATAAAAGACAATTTCTAAATTTTTATCTTTTCTAATTCCATTTTGATAACATTTAGCTAAATTGTATAATCAAATTTTATTGCTTTTAAATATTAATGAAATGCCTTTTCTAGATTTATTTCTGTTTCTTCACCATTCTTATATGAATTTGCAAGATTAAATTATACATTTGCATTATTTTCTTCAGCTTTTTGATACCAATAAAATGCCTTTTCTAAATTCTTTTCTGTTCCTTCACCATTTTCATATAATAATGCCAGATTAAATTGTGCAACTATTAGTTCATTTTCAGCAGCTTTTTGATACCAATAAAATGCCTTTTCTAAATTCTCTTCTGTTCCTTCACCATTTTTGTATAAAACTGCAAGATTATTCTGTGCAACTTCATCATTATTTTCATTCTTTTCTGTTTCTTCACCATTATAATTTGCAACAAGAAGACTGTATTGTACATCTGCATCATTAGTTTCAGTGGCTTTTTCATACATATAAAATGCCTTTTCTAAACTTTTCTCTTTTCCTTCATCATTTTCATATATTGCAAGCTTATTTTGTGCATCTGCAGCTTCCCGATACTGATTGAAGGATTTTAAATTATTTTTTACGTTTACAACTTTTTTACTCCAATTTTTTATAATTTGACTTGATGATTCTGAATATAATGTATTTGATTGATCAGATTCATCTTTTTGTGTAATAAACATATTGTTTTCTTTAGAAGGAATAATTGACGTAAGGGTTACAACAACATTTCGCATATTTGGACGTTCATTAGGTTCATATTTCCAACATTCTATTAATAAGAAAATTGAGGTTATAATTTATTTTATAAAGACAAAAAAATATATATTATACCTTGATATAAATTACTATATTCCGGAGGAGTTCCATCAATAATTGTTTCTCTTTTTCCATTTATTATTCCTACAGTTAATAATCCTATACTTAAATCGGAACATTCATAATAAAATGGTTGATAACCACTTGAAATTTGCCACATCAAAATTCCAATGCTATAAACATCAGATTGTTTATTTAATTTGTAATTCGGATTGTCTAAACCTTTTGGATCCACGTAGGCGAGTACACCCATTATTTTTGAAACATTCTTTGACACTTCGGCAATTTTTTTTGATAAACCAAAGTCTGCCAATTTAATCATTTTCTGATGTACAAGTATATTGCTTGCATGCTACATAAGTTAGTTTATTAAATGATAATATTATTAAGAAGCATAGTAAGTATAAAAATATAGTAATTTCAAAAAAATTATTTTACCAGATCACGATGAACAATATCACAATCATGTATACATTCTACGGCACTTGCAAGTTGCAAAGCTAGCTGAAATTTTTCATTCCAATCGAGATCATGAAAATGCGACTTTAAGTAATCATTTAATGTGCCACTATCAGCGTATTCCAAAACCACAGAATAATTTTTCATTGCACCTGCTATATATTTACTTAACATAGATTTGTTAAACAATGGTCACATTATATTGATATAATTTACCAGTTCCTTCATTTGTGATTCCATAAAATCGTAGAATATTTGGATGGAAATCAACTTTTTTATGTAATTTTACCTATAAAGAAATTGAATTTATATAAATTAAATTTTAATTTTTCATTAAAATATTAAAATATACATACCTCATTTACGACTTTTTCTGAAGATATCTTATCGTTTTTAAAGGATTTCAAAGCAAAAAAACGATTCGTACTTTTCCAATTAGCACGTACAACATTTCCAAACGCACCACTTCCAATTGATTGAAAATCGCTGAAGTCGGAATACTCATAATGAGTGAGATATTCCTCAGAAATTGACTTTTCCAACCAATCAATCGATTCTTCATTTAACATTTTTTTTTTTTTTTTTTTTTAAAAAAAATAAATAAAATAATGTACAGTAGCTCTGCAGTATGTAAGTATGTAGATCACCAAGTGATTTATAGAAATTATTGTGAAAATCGTTGCCTTTAGTGGATAGCTTATTTGAAATGAGTCTTTTTGGGGATTAGCGCATTTATGAATAAGTTAAGCTACACGAACAAGCCACAAGAAATTTTTTAACACCGAATTCCGTTCTCTTATAATACAAGAAATTAGTGTAAATCTTTTTTTTCTCATCATTGTTGTTTAAGCGATTAGCATTATGAATAGAATTTTCCAAATTAAAAAAAAAAATGGTTTCATTTATTATATACATATTTATATTTACGATTGCTGAAAAGAGTATAAAAAATAAATAAATAAATACTAAATTTGAATGAATTTTTGTAGTGTAATCTTTGTATTTTTCTTTCAAAAGGATTTTTATACACATTACTCGATTTTGAATGTATTTTGTTTATGATTTTTCTATATTTTGCTAGGATTTAACGTTCGTGTAGCAAATTTAACCAAAATGATTTTATAATACATGAATTAAAACATCAAAAATGAATTCAATTTATCCACTTTATTTAATATTATAAATGAGTGAGTCAATAAAAATAAATTATGGATTATTTTTGTATTTTAAATATGTGTGCATGTAAATATTCATGCTCTATTTAATATAATCAATATACTTCATTTATTTTTACAAAGACTACGAGAAAATTAAAGTCCTCAAACAAACAAAAATAAAAAAAAAATGATTGATCTGAATGCAATTTAAAAAAAGAATTTTTTTATATTACAAGAATTCATGACCGTAAAATCTAGAAAATAAGCATCTCTATCACTTGCTATCATGTTTGTAAAAACTAAAATAGGCACCTTGAAAATAAGCACCTTCGATAGGAACCTTTCGTTGGTTTATCTGTCTTAAAAATGAAACAATAATGATAATGTATATTATGGATTTCTTAGATCATTTTTAGATGTTGCGCAATCTTATTTTTTCTTATTTTTTTTTTTTTTACGCAAAATCATAGCATATGCACCCCTACAGATTTTGACGTTCACATGACAGCAAAAAAGAGGTGCTTATTTTCTCGATTATATGGTATATGGGAGCGTTGTCAGTAAAATTTGGATCATATGATTTATTATATATCTCGTGAATATCTCGAATATTAAACTTTGTAAAAAAAAGACGACCTCGACTTTATTAATAAATTAAATAAATTTTCAAATCGATAATCATACCAATAGCTGAAGAATAATAACAGAAAAATGTTTTAAGACACGGCTGGCATGCCCGTAATTACACTTTAGCTGATACACAAATTTTCATCGTTAAAACCCTTTGTGAAATTCACCTGAGTTGGCTTCATCAAGTCACTATTAGTGTATGAACAAAAAGTTTATCCTTCTAAAAAAGTTAAATTTCTTATGCATAATTTGAATTTGTTTGACCTTTTTTGGTGAAGCTAGTAAAAGTTTGAAAGTTGTTCAAATGAACTAAAACAATAAACGTTAAACTCTTTAAATAATGCATCAGTATAAAGTTCATAAAGAAAATAAGGTATTAGTCACGTTTAATACCGCGGTGCATTTATATTGTAATGAATCAATTTCGGAACATTATAAAATGCAAAAATTTGCATCATAAAAATTTATTAATTTTGTTTCTTGTAAAAAAAAAAAAAAGAAAGAAAGAAAGAGAAATATATTGCTTGTATTACAAAAAAAAAAATGAATAAATCATTCGGCATATCTAACTACCCGGCCCCAAGTCTCAAAAGTTCCCCAGATCCTAATTGATACAGAAAATTACGTTAAAAAAAAGCTTAAGCTCACAGAATTATATCATTTAAAAATAATGCTTACCCTTGTCTAATGATAAAAAAAGAAATTTTTTTTTTAAAAAAAAGGATAAAATTAATTGAACGTTAAGGAAAGAAAAATTAAAATAAAATATAATTCAGATTTCCTCACCTAAGACATTCCAATTGAACAATCTGACTATGGTCAACAAACAAATTAACGTCAGCACCATAATTCTTTACGAACCAGGTAAAAACCTCCGGATCAGCTGCTTCAAACATGACATTTTCCTTTCCAACTTCTTGAATGATTCTAGCAATAACATCAGTACGCCATTGTTCCCTAGGTACATTCTCTGTAATTCCCTCACTTTCAATCATCAATAATGGAGTGCTAGTTTCTTTAAGGAAGAGATGAGCTCGAGAGATTAAATGTTGGATATCCTGTTTGGTAGTTGCAGTGGTGAGGGATGGATCAAGTACACCACCTCCTGATCCAAATTGAATTCCTAGCTCAGGTTTCGGAATCAGACCGAGTGTTGATGCTTTGTTAATCAAACGCAAAAAGTCACTTGATGGGATGCTAATGAATCCGGCGCTAATCTCAAGCGTATCAAATCTAAATTTGAAAAGAAATTTATTACCTTTAATTTTTTTTTTTTGATTGTTTTTGTAGAGAACCTTACCCGAAATCTTTACACTTTTTCATGTATTTGTCGATTAAACCCTTTTGATCCCCAATTCCTTGGGCCAATAAAACTCTTTCAATAAAACCTCCAGTGGAAACCTTAACATCATATTCATGTGCAAGCTCAATAATTCCTCTTAATTCATTTTCAGGATAAAGTGTAAATGATCCTCCAGCAAACTTTAACGAATCGACATAAGATCCCATGGTTTCTAAAATATCCGATAAATATCTTTTACCCATCGGACTATAATAAGGTCCACGAATTTCTGTTTGTCCCGTTTTTCTTGGTTTAGATTCCCTTGCCGGGTTTAACAAAAATGGAAAGGATCCTCCATGGGTTTTTTTTTGTATGGCAGAATTAAAGAATTTGCGGGATGAAAATTTGGTGATGGAATAAGATTGAGCGAAGGGATTTTTCACGGACTTTGCAAGAAACGACATTTTATAGCGCTTTGTTACAGGGAAGAAACCTTTCAAAAATTTATTTAATTATTGCAACATTTATAATTAGCACCTTTAGTGTGAGAGTAAAATCACGTGGAACTAAATGTGACGTAATAAATTTAACTAATTATAAAATATTTTTTTTTTATTTTTTTTTTTTTTTTTTTACAAAATTTAGCTAAATATAGTTATGCAAGATTTTTGATAGAAACTGTTACATATATTCAGAAAAACAAAAAGCTATAAAATATGCAAAAATGAAATATATTTTAATGTTAAATGAAATACTTTGTCTAATTATATATGTGAAGTAAAAGACTCTAGATGGAAAGGATCTTCTCTCAATCAAAGTTTGATAATCCTGTTTTAAATTTTTTTTTTTTTTTTTATTGGAAAAATGAGATTGTAGGAAATAAAAAGGAACAATTATTTTACAAAAAATACTTGTAAAACTTACGGCAATTCCGATTAGTCTTACTTGGTTAAAACGATCTTTTCTTTATTGTCAATAATATCTTGAAATCTTTCTCTCTCAGCGTGAAGTAATCGATAAACAGATTTGATAGAACTAGTAGCCATTCCAGAAACTTTAGCGAGATTATCAATAGGGATCCCACCATGAGAAATTTCAGATGCATAATGAATACAAGCAGCAGCGACGGTATTTTGATTTCTACCAGAAAGTAAACCTAAATCATTTGTTCTCTTGCTTAATCTTGTGGCGATGATTTGAAGATCTCTAGACAAGTTTAAACTCTGAGAAAATCTAATCATTAAATCTTCAGCAGTCATTTGACCAACATTCAATTCTAAATTATTATATAGTATTTTAAAACATCTTGCAATCTCTCTTTTAGAAACTTGTGATGAAAGGCAAATTTCTCTAAAAGATCTCGCAACCTTTTTAACCCTACATGCAATATAAATACATGCAGAGAAAATTGCCATTTGATTTTTCCCACGCAATAATTTTTCCTCAATGGTCCTTCTATATAATTGTTTTGTCGTATCAGAAATTTCTTTTGTTAAATCCATTGAACCACAAAGAGCTTCAATTTCTGAGTATGCATGTTTTAAGGTCATGTCAAATTTACTAGTTGTTACTTTATAATGTGTTCTATTAAGACCTTTATGACCATTTGATGAAATAATTGTATCCAATGCCGAATCCTTCAATAATGGATCTGCAGCTGCACCAACTCGAGACGGATCCAACGAGCCATTATCATCACCACTAAACGTACGCCATTCAGATCTTGTATCGATAATTCGATCTGCAAGGACTAAACCGCAATCACCGCAAACAACATCCCCACTCGAGTATTCTTCAATCAAATTTGGTTGAGGATTTCTACATTCTGGGCATATCAAACGAATATTCAAGTCTGGTCGAAATACTTTTAACGCAGAGTCATCATCCACCAAAGGTTTAATTTTTGGAAATGGAGTGCGCAACATTATTAAAAAAAAATAAAAAATTGGAAAATAAAAAATTTTAAGAGAGAATTATGGAAAGAATTATTGAAAGTGTAGTATTGAAGTTCAAGGAATTCATCAATTCTTTTTATACTCCACTTTTTATGAAATGACATAATTACTAGGCGCAGATTATGGTTAAAAGAGTAATTACATAACTTGCGCAGCATAAATTCGTGTAAATCATTACCAAAACTAGCAACGTTTTTGTTGATAAATAAAGTTTCCAGTTCCAGAAAGCTTTTGTTTTCAAAAATAAACTTTTTTTCTGAATATAGTATATTGTTTTAAATGCAAAAGGCTTAGCAGTATTTATAATTCATTGTATTTATTGGGCTTTTCCATTTTCAATAAGTAAAAGATTACCGTAATAACGATAACAAGCAAGTTCATTGTTGTCTTAAACAACTGCAATGATTGCCATTTTATTTTATGTTTACGAAAAAGTACATTTTTCTAATTCCCGTAACAAACTAACTATGATAATTTTCTTTTTTTTAATGAAAGAATGAGTATTGTCGCAATTGTCGCACAAATTTTATATCGAAATTTAAAATTCTTTTAACCAAAGCAACATAATTCAGCGCAGTAAAGTAATTATTTAGAATAACGAACCCGAATATAATAATCATATAAACCTAATTCACAAAATTATCACATGACTTCCAACTTGTCAACCAATCTTATCGAAGTGAGCAAGCAAGCAACGAGAATTTATTACTGGGGCAACATTTTCAATAATTGTACAGTACATTGATCATTTTTCTTTTCGCATCCATTACATTCAAAGATGTTATTTTATTATTAATTACATAAGTCATTAATTTCAAAAAAGACTTATTTTTATTGATAAGGAAATTATAATTTAAATATATAAAATCTATTCATTTCTATACTAATTCTAAATTTTTATCTATTAAACTCTAAGCATGCCCAAGAGTGAGTGTGTGACAGCACCACCACCTCTCTTGAATTTCCTTGCATTTCTTCTGAAATCCCTTGCGTTTCTTTTTTCTCCAATACTTCTCTTAGCATCAACTCCTTCAAGTTCAACAACATCAATTCCCTCATCTTCGGTACTATCCTCGCATTTAGATGTAAGTTCTTCTTTCATTTTATCAGGACCGCCGAAGATATTTGTTTCAAGTTGCTCATCTAATTCATGTGCTTCGATATAGGTCAAGTAAATTTCTGCAATTTTAGTCCAACATTCACCGCAAACAAAATCCTTTGGAACTTCTCTCGTGGTTCCATCGGGAAGGTATAAAGTCTTCCCATCAAGAGAAAAGGCAACGTTTGGATCCCCATTACTTTCTTTTTTGGCGAAATCGAACAACTTAGTGAGCGTTGATAAATAACAAGACTCTTAATAAAAAAAAAAAAAAGGTTTCAAAATATTGTTTAACGTTCAATCTTTGTAACTAAATATGTACAGCATATATATTTCATTAAAATTATTTCTAACATACCTCCTTGTTCGTTCTTGAAACAAATGGCTTCGTGAGTTGGAATACCACCATAATAAGTGAGATAGTTAGCGTAAGCTAACAAAGTAGTAATATCCAAGGTTTTTGGATCGGCCTTTAAATCCAAAGGAGCCGACAATTCAGTGGCACAATCCGTCTTGATCTTTTCCAAGGTTTTATCAACTTCTGATTGTTCACAAGTAAACTCTAATGCGCAATACTTATCCAATGATGTCTTAAAAGGTTCAACATCGTAAGTTGTAAAGTTAAACGGGGAGCTCACATCATAACCTGCATTTTTGTACTCTTCAAGGATAATGTTGCCAAAATTAATATTCGTTGCACATTGAGATGGAGGGGTAACTCCAGTGTAAAAAGATAAGACTCCATCATCATATAATGCTTTTTGGCAAACGCTACACTCGGTCGCTTGAAAGGTTTCTTCACAAGTTTTCTGAGCGAGAGTCACGGATGGAATAACGACCGACAATAACCCAAGAATCAAGGTAATTTTCTTATTCATCGTTGAAAAGGAAAAGAAAAGAAAAGGTTTTTAATAATAAAAAGATATTTTTTATTAATTGACTTCCTTGATTCGATTTTGTAGACGAGTGAAGAATTCTCCGAATGTTTTCGCTCCATTAAATACCTTTTTGTTTTGTAGGAGAGATTAGATTCCCTCACTTCACCCGTTTCGTGAACATAGCCCAAATATGAAAAATATTATTATTACAATGAAAACCTTTAAAGGAATCTTACAAACTAATTTCATTCCGACTTACAAGCCCATCATTATTATAAGCCGTCGATCACATAGCCCTGATGACTTGAGGCTTCCTTTCGCTTCGAGGATGCCAAAGATCTTTTTTTTTTGATTATGCTGCGGCGGGTCATCATCCACCATAAGGCTATGATCTTACATTTCATTACCATAATGAGGGCGCATTGTTTGTTTGTATAGAGGCTTCGATCATCCTCAAAATTAAATTTGTGGAGGAGTTTTAATTATTTCATTACAACTTTGAATTTGGTATTACAAACCTGTTCGGTTTCGAGGACATGAAAAAAATAAATGATTAACGGATTTTACCAAAAAAACTTTTTTTCAGGATATAGGCTTAACCTTTGATTAATAATAATTAAAAAATCTTCGATCAGTTCAATTCCATATCGTAAAAAAGTGTTAATTAAATTAATAGATTCAATGATTTTGCGCAAGCCATCCAAAATTGCTTGCAAAAAGTTAAGCTCGAAGAGATGTTATCTTTTCTTTAGTTTTAAGTTCTAGCTTATTATAGTCATATCAGAGAAATTTAGAAATTTCTAACGACCTAAAATTAAAAATTAAGCGCAGCCTCAAACACAAGTTTCTGGTTTACTATTATGTAATATGCATAATTTCGGATAATTCGGCTGGAATTATACAAAAAGGGAATGATCTCCGTGATCCTGCGCAAAAAAAAAACTCAAAGATACTAACTTTTGATGTATTGTTCGGTCAAATACCGCACGTGCAATATTAAAGACAGCTTTTTTATGTAGAAGGAAGAACTAATATTTCGAATAAATTTTGGGTTATGAAATCCGCGCAAAAACTGATTTCAGATTTCATAATGAAAAAAATTGTAAATGAATCAGACGATGATGTTAATTTGATAATTTGATAACAATAAAGATGAGATGTTAAATATAATCTCCATCGAACGACAATTATTGTCCTGAAGATTCTTTTGATTATCTTTAATTATAAATGGGTAACTTTTAATGAACTTTTCTTTTAAAAAAAAAATTAATATCGATTCTAATAAAACTGGAAAATTTTTTCTGGAACGTACCCATTATTGGGATATAAAAAAAATTCAATCAAGAAATTGATGACCGTTTTTTTTTTATGGTATGGTATAAACTTGATTGGATAATTTTTCATATGATCGGAAATCTTTGAACGTGAACAATTTTTTAAAAAAAAAAAATTATGAAATAAAGTTTGGACATTGTTATCTCCCGATCCAAAATTTTCATAATTGAACTAACACCGTTTAAATAAGAACGCGTATGGATATATGTATTTAATTATTTTATTTAAAAAGCTGTGGCGATGATCATCGTAGTGCACAGAAACGGAGAAGTACTTCACCATCGTCACAAATTGTGTCACAAATATCAGACGCCACATATCATATACGCCACAACATTTGTATTTCTCTTGAAATATAAAAAATTAAATTTAGAAAAGTTTTTACCGATAATTTGTTTAAACAATGAACCTGTCATTAACTCTATACATTACGAGCATTGTATTTGCAATAATTTAACACCTTACATAAATATTCAATATCTCTGTTGAATTATTGTTAGCGTTAAGGTCACTGGTTATGTATCAATTTTTATTAATGAGTATTTATTTGAACACATTTTGTGAAAATTTTATTGGTTTTACGTGATCATCACTAAACGAAAGATTTCAAAAACTCAATCTTCGTCCAAGAAAATATTTTTTTCATATATATAATTTCCTGTAACAAAAAAAAAACTTTGAAAGGTTAAAAGTCGGGTAATGTTTGGGTAAATTCTGAAGTGGGCCAAAACAGTTTAATAAAAAAATAAAATTTATTGTACAATTCATGTGATTAAAGATAAGTGATAAAAAATTAAATGATATGATGTATTATTTACAAGTGATTAAAAATTAGATCTTAATAAAATATGTTCAAAACATAATTAAATTTCTAATTCCGAGTATATATAAGGAATATTAAAATAATTTATTTGGATCGACTTGAGTGTTTATGTTTTCTCTTGATACTCTTGATCCTTTTGATATTAGTACTAATAGAGTTCATACGCTTGGAAAAGAAATTTATTATTTTTCTGCCGCAAGAGCCTATAAATAAAATTAAATATAAAGATTTTTTTTTAATGATTTGAATTGGATGAATTTTTATAATCGTTAAAAATCTTTAATCCCTTACAACACACTTACATTTTATTTCATCCTTGCTTTCATAAATTTCAATTCGAGAATCAATTGAATAGTCAGACGGACATTGATCATTATGTGGAGTTACGGTATTGTGTGAATTCATTTTTACTTGAGATAATTTTGAAATAATTTAAATAATTTTTTATTTTTCAACAAAAAGCTAATTTTCTTTTGTGAGTCAAAAATTCAGATTGCCAAAAAATATTTAATTTATAGCTTTTATGGAGCCAAGAATATAATTATACTACCGTTGCAAGTAACCAACCACGTATCAGCTCAATTATTAAGCGGGGGGAATGCGGACATTTGAGTCAAACAGCAGGCCTGTTCAATTCCGATTGATGCAATTTTTGGTGCGGATATTTGAGTCAAACAGCCGGCCTGTTCAATTCCGATTGATGCAATTTTTGATGTAAATTTTATGTAATATGATACATCCTCAAATTTGCATCACATGCATCAACTTTAATCTGAACCAGCTAATTAAATTGATGTACATCGAATCATGAATTATTAATTGGTTAATAATGATAATCAAAAATTACATCTAGCGTCTAGAATTATATAGTTCTTCGTTACGCTCCGGGCTAATAATCAACTCTCCTCAAATATTTACAAAAAAAAAAAAATTAAATAAATAATTAGTGCCACATTTGACACCACAAATTTAAGCTCATGATCGATTCTTTTCTAAGAAATGTTGTACTAAATTGTGTATAACATTATCTATAAATATAATGTACAAATTAGTAAAATGATCATCTTGCAAACAAAAATTTGGCGGGAAACATTTAAATGTATCGAAAATTTAATGATGCGTTGTCTGACCGCAATGTGTAAAATTTTTAATTTTAGATGGCAAAATATTTTGACATGCGCTTGATTAAGCAATGCAAATCATTTAAGAAACCCCCTTTTATTGGATTTTAATTTTGTAAGTTTTAATTAACCTGTTTAAATTTGGTTTAACAAAATGCTTTCAAATTTGATATGTGATTTATTGACTTTCGAAGTTCCTTTGGTTTTCTACAGGCAAATCATGAGGAAATTTATATTTACGTTGAAGATCAAATCACAAATAATTTGTGTGATTTCCAGAGCTCTAGATCCGGATGTATGACATACTGTTATTAATCTCATGCCTTAAAACCGGGTCATTCTGCATTAATTACTTTAAATATGTTTACAAGAAATTATTTTTTCCAAAGTGTAGAGCGAGAAATCGTATAATACACATAATACGTTATAAAAAAATAGATTTTGTTAAAATACAATTATTATAAAATTATAAACAGCTATATTTGTTCTTTTTTAAGTGAAAATTATCTCAATGCAGAAACTACGAAATTACAAAAATTTGTTTTAACTTTGTTAGAAATTTACTTGTGCTTCACTAGTTAACCTTATTTGTAGTTGATAATAAAATTAGGTTGTGATGACAATTAAAATTCGATGCTGATCATTTTCCAAAAAAGTAGGACTTTAATTAAATAAATCCTTGATGTCTGATGACTGAATATTAATATCTCGTGTCCATAACCTGCATCATTTTTATCATTATATATATTCTTTTAGGAAATATTTTTTCTATTTCCGATAATTGCAATAACTTATTGTACGAGCAACACTTTCATTTTGATCACAGACCAGCCATTCCATTTGATGCTGTCCGCACACCAATCAGAAACTGTGACAGTGATTTTGTTTAAATAACAATAATTAAACTGTGCTATTTTTACATTTTTGATATTTAAATTAAAGTTGTTTTTCGTAAGTTATGCACGTCAATTATTGCGTAACGCGTTGTTTTTTATTGGTATTTTAAAAAAAATATATTTAATTTAAAAGATAATAACATAAATTTTATTTTAAATTAAGTTTAAAAGTTTATTTATCCCCTGATTGGCACCATTTACGTAATTATGCAAATAAATTATGCCTACTAGACGATCATTTAATATGTATTTATTTATGCATTTCTAGTACCGTATTTTGCGGGCCACAGTACCCCCCCATGCACAGTACCCTATGCAAATTTTTTTTTGGATTTATTAAATATCCGGATATTTCACATGGAGGTGTTCGGTTCAAAATTTATAAAATATCCGGGGTATCTCTATAAATTTGATTGGCTGATAAAAAAATTGACGACGTTATTTACAATATATATTTTTTAAGGATCAAAAATATTTTTTTAGCTTTAACGTAAAGCTTCCGATATACATTGACGAATTTATTATTATGTGATATTACTAAAATATAATACATTCCATTAATTCTTTCAATGTAGGATGTTATTCCTCATCAAAAAAATAATCTTAATTTTGATTTCTATCTTCCCCTTCACTATTGTCATTGCTACAATTAATTTCATTATTTTTACCTTTATCCATTCTAATTTCCCATTCATTTTCATAATCATTTTCTTCAATATATTCTTCATCACCAGAATTATCTTCTAAATCTACTTCATCTTCATCCTCCGGCATGTCCAATAATTTATCATAATCAAATAAGTCTTTATCATCTGAACTATCGGCATTCGTTGAAATTCCGCAAAATTTAAATGACCTTCTAATAAGATCTTCATCAACTTCGTCCCATGATTCCTTAACCCATGTTGCAACTGTTGAATAGGAAGGTTTTTTAATTCTTCTAGCTGGAGTAAGAGCATGAATAGTAGATGACATCCAATCATTATATCATTCTTTAATCTTCAAATTATTAATAAAAAAAATTAAAGAATTTAAATAAATATTTAAATTATTAATAATAAAAATTACAACTTAAAAATTATACACTGGTTTACCTTAGTTTTAAAGCTTTTATTAATTGCAACGTCTAATGGTTGCAATTTTGATATGCAACCACCCGAAATTATAGCAATATTTGTGTTTTTTTCTACCAATCGATTTTTAACTGAATTTACAATATGACCGCGAAAAGAATCCATTACCAATAAGGAACGTGGATTACTAAAAGAATTTCTTGATATCCACACAGTTTCAGTCTATCATAGCATCTCTTTTTCATTCATCCACCCTTTTTCATTTGCTCGTATATGAATACCATGAGGAAAATTTTCTCTTGGCAAATTTTTCAACTTAAAAATACAAACTGCTGGAAGTTTGTTACCATCAGCCATACATGCAAGTACAACTGTAAAAGATGAACGCTCGTGACCTGTAATACGAATGCTAACCATTTTTGTACCTTTATGATCTATGATGGAATTATTTGGTAAATCAAACCATAAAGGTGTTTCATCTATATTACCTATGTATTTTAACGGATAGTCATGCTGAATCCTTCTATATAAAACATAACTTAAAAAATATTTTGTTTTTCAAGCAAGTCTTATAGTAATTGTTATGCTACTGTTGTTCTGCATCGCTCACTAAGATTATGTCTTCTTAAAAATCCACTTAGCCATTTGTTTGAAAATTTAAATGAAATGATATTCAGAATATTTGCCAAAAAATCCTGATTTTTAGATAGCATGATTGCTTTATTAGTAATCATTTTTCAGCTAACGGCATTTTGATTTACTCTTCTATCACAAACCCATGTATATAATTCATCTTCCAAATCTGTATATTTAGCAGATTTACCCGGATGAAGCTTAAGAATATAAGATGCACATGCCAATAATTTTGCTTTATTGTTATTCCATTCACGTACTTGTTTTAGTTGAATATTAAAATATTTGGCAGTTCCACATTTACTTCCTCCATTATTTTCCAAAAAATGTACTACTATTAATTTTTCTCTTACATTCCATTGTCGCCTTTTCTTTTGTGATAAACGATTACGTGTTTTTTGATTTTTTTTATTTCCAATAATAACCATTTTTACTTTAAAATAATTTGCATCACAAATAAAAGACAAAGAAATGAAAGCGCGTTTATTATTTATAAGGATTTATTACACAAAATAGGGGGAAGAAACAGATAAATGTGATTTTTATTAACCTTTTTTTCCAAAAAGGATAATTTATCTTACTTTTAAAATATAAATATGTCCGGGTATTATATATGGCAAATATCCTGGGTACTTTATAAACCTTATACCCCTCTTATGCACAGTATCCCTACTGTATCCCCTGTATAATATACCCCAGATATAGCCTTCAACTCCCTAAAATTTGTATCATACCCAGGGTATTATGGCCCCTGTTATACAGTAATATTGCCAAACTTTAATAACAATCTGATATTAATAATATCTCTAAAGAAATTTAAAAAACTAAATGTAACTCTGAATTCTCTTTCCTACTTAGTTCTTGTAAATTGTAATATATTACTAGTAGGGTTCTACAATTCGATTTGATATTTGAATATTTGATTTGAAAATTAAATCAAATACAAATTAATGTTTGATTCAATTCGATCGAATTCAAATCAAGTATTCAAATATTTGATTTGATTTGAATCAATAGTAAAGCCATCTGCAAAGCTTCAGAAGTGACTCTTACTAAGACAACTTATAGTAAAAAACGCCTCTGCAGCCTCAGAGATGTTTTTTACTAAGAATCCTAGTAAAAAATGCATCTGTAGCTTCAAAAACATTTTTACTAATAAAATTGTTACGAAACTGAGATAGTGGTTATTACTTAGTTTTTTTTAGTAAAACTGAAGCTGCAATGGCAGTTATTACTAAGTTTTTTAGTAAAACTGAAGCTGCAATGCAGTTATTACTAAGTTTTCTTAGTAAAACTAAAGCTGCGATAGCAGTTATTACTAAGTTTTCTTAATAAACTGAAACCGCTATAGTGGTTATTACTAAGTTTTTTTAGTAAAACTGAAACTGTAGAGTTATTTTACTAAGTTTAATAGTAAAACTTTACCTGTTACTAAACTTACTTTGTAAAAGCTATCTTTGAAAATTTTTTAGTGCAATTACTAATAATTTTTTTAATTAAAACTTTAAAATAACTTTATTTTAATATATCATTGTAAAATCAAAAAAAAATTATATTCAATTCGATTCAATTTAATTTAATTCGATTCGATCAAATTCAAATTGATTTAAATTGATTCGATCAAATATTTGAGTTCAATTCGATTCGATTCGATTCGATTTGAAAAAATAAAATCAAATTCAAGTTGCTTAAATATTTAATTCGATTTGATTTTGAGGAACTCTAATTACTAGTCTATTTAAAGAAATGGACTTTGAAAAATTCTTTACATTTATTTTAACTTCTATTCTTTCTACTAAAAATATTTTAACTTTTATCCTTCTAACTAATAACAACACAAGTGAATAATCTATCAACTCTTCTCAACACTCTTCTAAAAATAGATAAATATAATATAAATGTAAATAAATACATTATTCTTATTACCTCTACTGATGAAAATACTTTCATTAAAGTTTCTAAATTTATTTGCTTCTCTGCTACTACTTTTTTACTGAAGTATTTGGTAAAATTGCTTGAAAAAAATTAATAATCTTAATTATTATTTTGTATTTAATCAATTATATGAAAGGTTTGTTAGGAAAATGAGGCTCTAAGCATTTTTTATTAAAATTTTAATTTTTATTGCATTTTAATTTTTGATAATATTGGATTAAAAATTAAAATTTTAATAAAAATGCTTAAAGCTCTATCTTTCTAGTAAACCTCCTATATGCAAAAGCAAAAACATCTATTATTTATGATTAAATTTGCTGAACAAAATTCAGAATTTAGACAGACGTCTAAATAGTAAAAGTAAAATTTGGTTAAATTATATTAAAATCTTATTAAAAAATCTGTGAAATTCAGAAAAGGGTAAAACTATATCAAAGCTTATAAAAATAGCAAAATTAAAGGTTTAGACGTTTAGCCAAATTTAAAATAAATTTAGACAAGTAACCTTATTCATGATTCTTGTAAATGTATTATCAATATTTATTTTGATAATAAAGATAGTCTTAAAGAAGCTATAAAAGAACCAATTACTATACTCAATAACCTTATTTTTGATGCTTTTTGCTTCAAAAAAATCTTGAAAAATATCAGGCTAAAGCCAATCGTATTATAAAAGTCTTAGATATTTTACTCAATATAAAATCTCACACTATCTTAAATGTTTTTTCTAAATTTAATATAATTAAAAGATCAGCTTATATCAGCTTAGGTCTTAATGAAAAATAGCAATATATATATATATTGTATTCAAAGATTTTGCAAGTATCACATCATTTTATGTGATGATAGCTGATAAAATTACGTTTCTTAATATGATAAAATTGATAAAATTGAAATGACAAAACTAGTTTTTTATTAATGATAATATTATTTTACTTAATTGCAGAAATTATATTTAACTTGATCTAAATTCCTTGAATTAAAATATATTAAAAAATATAATAATTTTATATTTATTCATATAAAAATATTAAAGAAACAAAATCTTTTGACGAAATTACAATTATTCAAAAAAGAGTTTAGACAAATGTCACTAATTTTATAATTAATTATAATAATCAATGATATTATTCGTATTACTCCTCTCAATTTATCTGATCAATAATTAGATGATCAATAATAATATTATTTAAAATTATCTGATTTTCTTAGAAAATCTACAGCACATGATCTATCACTAATTCTTACACAAATTAAAATTAAAAATTGTGTTATTTCTAAAGATAGAAACTATAATTTAATTAATATAACATTTTTAATTTTTCTAATAAAAATGGTCTTATTCAACTTATTTACTCTCCTACCTTTGAATTTCAAGACTAAATTCTTTATTAGATAAATTCTAATTCTCCCACATGTTTTAAATATGATAATCCTAATTACGCTACTAAAAATTGTAATTTCAGATATAATAATCTTTAAAGAGGTTCTAAATCTCCTAAATTTTCTTTTTATATAATTATTTTAAACCACAAGCTTATTAACCTCTCTTCTTAAATCTCACTTTATATATTTTACTAATCTATATAACAATCAACAAAGCTTTGCAAATATACTCACTAAGATTCCTCAAAATCGAATTAAATTGATTTGAATTTGATTGAATTAAATCAAATTAAATCAAATATTTGTTAAATCAAATCAAATCAAATCAAATTAATATAAAAAAATTTTTTAATTTTACAATGATATATTAAAATAAAGTTATTCTAAAGTTTTAATTAAGCAAATTATTAGTAATTACACTAAAAAATTTCAAAGATAGCTTTTACAAAGTAAGTTTAATAACAGGTGAATTTTTACTATTAAAATTTAGTAAAACAACTTCATAGCTTCAGTTTTACTAAGAAACCTAGTAAAATAACTCTGCAGTTTCAGTTTTATTAAGAAAACTTAGTAATAACCATCATCGTAGAACTATTTTATTAGTAAAAAATGTTTTCAAAGCAATAGATGCATTTTTTTACTAGATTCTTAGTAAAATAATATCTTTAAAGTTGCAAAGGTATTTTTAAATATGTTTTTTTAGTAAAATAATATATATGAAGCTGTAGAAGCATTTTTTACTATGTTTTTTTTAGTAAAATAACATTTTCAAAGCCACAAAGTCATTTTTTACTATATTTTTCTAGTAAAATAACATCTCTGAAACTACAAAAGCGTTTTTTACTATGTTTTTTCTTAGTAAAAAGCATTTCTGAAGCTGTAAAGATATTTTTTGCTATGATTTTCATGATTGCAGAACTATTTTATTAGTAAAAAACGGTTCTAAAG